ACAGCTGCTGCTCACGACTACCTTGGTGCTGAGGAGGTCGGAGCTGCTTCCGCTCCTGGTGGGAAGCGTCGCAGCGGCAGGGGCGGTGGGAGTGGCGGTGGAGGTGGCAGTGGTGCAGGCGGTGGGGGAGGTGGAGGTGGTGGGGGTGGTCGTGGGGGTGGAGGCGGTGGAGGTGGTGGTGGGGGCGGCGGAGGCACTGGGAGCGGTGGAGGGGGTAGCAGCGGCGGTGGGGGAGGAGGGAGCGGTGGTGGTAGTGGTGGTCAGGGCCAGCAGCAGCCGCAGCAGCAGCGTCAGCGCCAGACCCCCACTTCCCAGCAGCTTCTTGACTGGTATGCCGGGCGTGGGGCTTCTGGGGGTCCTGGTCGCTGCCCCTATATCATTCGCACAGGTCCCCGCACTGGTCGCCAGTGCACAGGTTATCACACTGAGCAGCGCTGCTTCGCTCGGCTTAGCGACGCCTGGCGCGCCAAGTTTCCTGATGCTCCCGAGTTCCCCAACTGGGCAGAGCTGCTTAGGCGTGATGTACCTATCTTTGATATTGACTATGAGGTTATTCTTGCTGCTATGTATGCATTGTCTGTTAGTACTGAGGGTGACTGCTACTTGTGTGTGCCGCCGGATCCTGGGATAGTTCTTGGTATAGCGCCTGCAGCACTAGGTGCTTGTGAGTCTGCTCCCCCTGGTACTGCGCTTGCACAGGCCTTGCACACTTTTACACTTGACTCTGGTGCTTCCCGCTGTTTCTTTCGCGACAGTACCAGAGTCACTCCCCTCCCTGCACCTGTTCTCGTCTCACTGGCTGACCCCTCTAGGGGCCCAGTGCTTGCACGGTCTTCCACCGTGCTTCCGTGTCCGGTGGTCCCGTCTGGTGAGTTGTCTGGTCTCCACCTCCCCTCGTTCTCTACAAACTTGGTGAGCATCGCTGTCCTCCAGGATGCGGGGGTTGACACCTTCACCCCTGGCCGTCAGCGTGTGACGATTTGCACGTGCTCCGAGACCGGCCACCACCTGGCCACGTTCACTCGTGCGCCAGGGTCCAGTCTGTACACCCTCACCACTGCATCACGCTCCGCCCCTTTGTCTCCCCTGTTACACGCGTCTGCTCAGGTAGCTACCCAGTGTGAGTGTCGCCGGCTGTCGCACGACACTCTCCTGTGGCACCACCGCCTTGGTCACCCCTCCCTACCTCGCCTGCGTAGCATGCACTCTCGCTTCCTGATCTCTGGTCTTCCCAGGTCTCTGCCTGCCCTCCCTCCCTCGCATGTGCCACCCTGCATTCCTTGCGTCGAGGGGCGGCAGCGCGCCGCTCCTCACTCCTCCTCGTTCCCTCCCACAGAGGCTCCCCTGCAGACTCTCCACCTGGACGTGTGGGGCCCAGCCCGCGTCCGTGGACAGGGCCACGAGCGGTACTTCCTGCTGGTTGTCGACGACTACACGCGTTACACCACGGTCTTCCCTTAACAGCGCAAGGGGGATGTCCCTGATGTTTTGATCCCCTGGATCCGCGCTGCTCGTCTCCAGCTCCGCGAGCGGTTCCAGTCGGACTTTCCTGTCCTACGTCTGCACTCTGACAGAGGTAGTGAGTTCTCCTCAGACCTCTTGGCGGCCTTCTGTGCGGAGCACGGCATCCGCCAAACTTTCACGCTTCCGGCCTCTCCGCAGCAGAATGGGGTTGCTGAGCGCCGCATTGGCTTGGTCATGGAGGTCGCTCGTACCTCCATGATCCATGCGGCTGCCCCCCATTTTCTGTGGCCGTTTGCGGTCCGGTACGCCGCGCATCATCTCAACCTCTGGCCCCGTATCTCAATATATGCATCTCATGATCTAGGCTATGTTGGGGATAGCCTTAGGGGGTACACAAACTTTCTCGATACCCTAGTCTTGTACCCAAACCTTCACCTAATCCACTCATTCTTGCCTTAGTTCTTAACATGGTAACTAGAGCAAGAGGTCTCTAGGACCTAAGAATCGGGCCCACCTACTGCCTGCCTTGCCTGGTGGCTGGTGAGGTGTAGCTTTTGGATTTCTACATTATATGCAAACGGTACGACCGTAGTAGTTTGATCAGCATTCTAGATACACATGTTCAGAGCTCTTCTGTCTCCAAATCAACCTCCTCAATGATGCCCTTGCCATTTGTAATGTGATGGATGAGTTGCAATGCAATACAGTGGCAGTGGATGGTAGTGGTTACTAAAAGGGAAACGAGAACTGTGACCATGAAGGCATCATGCCAAATTTACTATCAAATGGAGGCGGGCAATCCTCTACAAAGTGCGGTAACCATATAAAAAGGAGAACACATTTCTCCTGCCAACTCAGAGATCAGCAGTGCATTGGTACCGTACCACTAAACCTCGAGCATATTCAAACATTCCAGCCCCTGCCCACCCCATCCCCATCCATCCACTCACTTCTTCCCTCCAAATGATCCATTTCCCAGGATTCTACCATCAACACATCCACTGTCCAAATTTGGAATCTTGAGGATTGTCTCACCTTCCTCATCCCCAAACTTCGGGCATGCAGTGATCACGAGAGTCCTGAGGCTGGTGAGACTGCTCAAGGACTGGGGCACACACATCAGGTTAGGCCACGAACTCAAGGTCAGCCAATGCAGCTATGAGAGGTTCGTCATCTCCTGTGGGAGCCAGTACAGGTCCGGAAAGCCAAACAGGAAGAGCTTTTTCAGATTCGAAAGCTGACAGAGAGACGACATGAAGTCTTTTTGGTCGTTGCTGCACACCATGCAGTTGGCTGGCCACCCAAACTCAAGAGTCGTGAGGCAGCTCCAATGCCGAGTCAGGGATGGAGACACTGATCTGACGTTGTCACAGTAGTTGAAGGTGAAAGTGCGGAGATTGGAGAGCTTGGAGATGGTATTAGGAAGGTTCATAAGGCTTCTGAGTTGGCTCAACTCTAAATGCTTCAGAGATGACAAGTGATCCATGCTCTCCGGAAGGTCCATGAGCACTGAACAATCCTTGAGGACCAACACGCGGAGGTTAGAAAGATCGCAGAGAGAGTCAGGGAGCGAAACAAAGTCTCGACAATCTCTGATAGTTAGCGTCTTGAGAGATCCGAAGCCAGACACAGCGTTTGGAAGGGACTCAAAACCTTTACAATACACGAGCTCAAGAACTTGCAGAGAAGCAAGCTGGAAAAAGAACTCGGAAGTTCGGAGAGGGGATTGCCATTTAGGTAAACCTCTTGAAGGTTCCGAAGCTGGCCGATGGTGTCAGGAAGAGGTATTAAGCTGCCCACATCACGAATGCTAAGTTTGACCAGTGACTTCAGCCCACCAAACGAGGCAGGTAGACGGTCGAACGTATCAGAAATGCTTACTAGCTGCAGATCGGTCAATCCGGTGAGCTGAGCAAATGATTCCGGGAGGTGGTCAATGCACACAATGGCGAGTGTCAGCTTAGTCAGGGATCTTAGCTTGTCGAATTTATCAGGCAGACAGCTGAATTCAACATTAAGATTGACCTCCGTCAGGGATGAAAGGCCGAAGAAGGATGGTGGCAAATCACAACCGTATTCGTACAATGTACTCATGGTAAGCGAGAGGTACTGCAACGCAGTGCAGCCTGTGAAAATAGCATCTAAACCTTCATACGTCGCCCCTGAATAATCTCTGTTGTTCAGGTCAAGATAGATCAACTTTGGACAGACAGATCCTAGGCCACGGAGGAAATCGTCATTGTTCCTGTCAAGAACGCACTTGTTGATTGTAAGAGAAGTCAGATGTCTGAACTGAGAAAGAGATTCTAAAAGAGCAGCATCTGCTGTAACCCTGAGCGGACTGTGTGAGATGGACGGCTGTGCAAGGTAAGCTAGGCGATTCCAGCGTTTACAGACGAGAGCATGATTAAAGTAGCTGGGTGACTTCTTGTTTAGACAACGGAAGATGAGGCAGATGAGGTCGCGCGGTAACCGATTCAATGACACTTTCGGCACACGCTTACGACGATGCGGGACTGGCGCTAGGGAAAGTAAATCACCTTCAGCACCGGACATTGTTAGCACGTTGCTGTGAACTAAGGCCAATCAAGCGAGGGAAGATCTAGATCCTCTGGTAAACTTGGGGAGAAATGGAATATGGAACTAGGTAAGGGCGTGTGTGGTCTGTTTAGAAGTTCAAAATAAAGTTCGAGCTTTGGGTGGTTACCCTATTCGCTAATTTCGTGAAGGGTGCTTCGCGAACCAAGCATTGTATGGGCTCTGCAAAAGTTCGAGTTTGAAATATGAACTTGACTCGAGTCGGAGGCGCGAACGTGCGTGCTCACGTTCATGCGAGCGTGTGTGATTTGCAGCACGTCCGAACAGCTGGCGAAACGGGCGAGCGCTTCGCCAGTGCATGAAGTTGCACAACGAAGACACCCCACAATTCGTGCACACAGTTGTAGCCACGTGTCCAGCATACAAGGTGTTGCCACGGGGGCTATTTGTACCCTGGTTACACACTCGGCGCGGAAGGTGAGTTGGAGCTCTAGGTCCTTGTAAACCGAGGCGCAAAATGTTGACGTGGCGCACCGTCAAGACGAGCGAACCGGGTAACCTATGATGTTGACGTGCGGCTCGGCTCGTTTTTACAAGTTAGAATGTCGGGGTTCGACCTTGATTTTTTACAGTGTGGTAAGCCCGATGTTCGAACTTCGATAGAAGGAAATTCGAACTTCTTTCGTTGTAAGTTGTGCTCGGGGCACACACTGGACTTGTGCTGGATCTGTCTGCCTTGGTTTCGCTGCGTTCACTTTCGATTTGTGTTCGCTCGGCGCGTAGCGAGTAAGAATGTCGAGAGACGAAGTCCAAATCCTTTCGCAATAGAAACACTACGAAACAATCGAATTCCAGAACTGAACACAGTAACCCAGTGGACGGAACCACCTATACTTCCGAGTTTCGATTCTCGCCGAATCCATATCAGCTTTATCACCTTCAGCTGTGACCACCAAGCTCACAGTCTAGGCACCTCATCGCGCAAAAAAGCCCTTCTCATGATGTTACTATTAAACGCGTCTCAAGACATAGGTGACTCAGACCAAGTGCCGTCAATCGTGATAACCCACAGATGTGGTTACCACCAATTATGTGTACAGCAGGCCTCTTTCGCTTCCACTTCATCTCGCTGCTACCATAGAGTACACTCGTAATTGAGAATTGTAGAAGCCACGGTCTTCTGCGTGAATTAGAGTGGTGGATTTTGAGTCAGCTCAAACTCATGGCTTCGAAGAAGACGAAAATTCATTCCTCTGCATCACCTCGAAGGTCCCGGATCTCTTTTACTTGCCTTATCTTGAGGGCCAAATCTGCGACCTTCGAAGGTTGTGGTCTCAGCAAGCCTTCTCTTTCCGCCTTCCTGTCCCCGTCGAGCGATCGACTCTCTCTGATCGTTTCTCCCTTTCGCTCTGCACATTTTCGCATGCAAGTGAAGGCGCTGCGCGCATCCCTCGGTAATAGTGAATTTCTCTCACTTTCACGCTCAAAAGCTTCCGCGCCCTCACTCTCGTTTTTTCTCTCCCTGTGCTCGTTCCCGTGCAGGTGAAACAGCTACGAGCATCCCTCGGTAACTTTATTAGCATTCTCGAAAGTGACTCTCAAAGCATTCGCGCTCACTCCCTCTCTCTCTCTGCCCTTGCGCGTGCAGGTGAAGGATCTGCGCGCATCGCTCGGTTCGCTCCCCAAGCTCGCGCGGATATTCTGCTCCGACGCGGATATTCGTCTCTGCGCCGATACCTGCGCGCGTGCAACTGGCACGTGCAGCGCGCCGAGCGCATGCTGCGCGACACGCTCAAGTGGCGCGACCAGTGCCGCCCGGAGGAGATTCAATGGGTACGTACGCTTGCACGCATATGAGTACAGTCGCACGCGCGTTCGTGCATCTTGAGCATGTAAGCACGCACATACGCATGTGCGCATGGAAGAGGCGGGCGGATGAAAATGCATACATCAATGCAAACGCTGTGCAAATGTGCGACTGAAATATTCATACCTCACTGCTTAAGATCGTTCCTTCCCGGCCCCCGCTTGTTCCCGCCATCCGCTTGTTCCCGCCATCCACAAACCTTCACACCACACAATCGTCCAAATCATGCCACCCTTCGTGGCGGTACTGGGTGTCCAATTTTTCCTTCCCGTTCGCCACCGCCCCACTCCCCTGTGCACTTCAACCTTCCTTCCGCATCATCCCCATCTGGTACACGAACCTGCGTTTCGTGGGCCGTGTGCTGAACGTGTGCTGAAGCCACTGCATCCTTTTGCGCTCTGTGGGCCGTGCTCCGGCGCGATTGCAGGCTGACGTGGCGGAGGAGGGCGCGAAGGGCAAGGTGTACCGAACGGCATTCCAGGACAAACACGACCGCCCAGTCGTGATGCTCTCTGCCGGCCAGCAGGTGAGGTGCTTGCGACGGCGCTCCCTGCCAGTCACTGTGTGAGCTGAATAGGGTTGTAACTAGCCTGTAATGGTCAGATCCAAGCTGATTGATTCGGTCTCTCACCCACTGCATACACCTCGCCTGCGTACTCACCCGATGCATACTCCTAGGCAGTGCTTACGTTCTCGTACAGTACAACCCTCATCGATCGTCATTCCGCTTGTTGCAGCACGCCAGCAACCATGCGGGGCAGTCCTTACACACCCCACCACCCTCTCTCGTACCTTGCTGCCTCACGTGGGGCAGGTGCGCCACCTGGTGCATTGCCTTGAGAACGCCGTCATGAACCTGCCCGCCACTGCCTGTGAGCAGCAGCAGCTGCAGTTGCGTGAGAATGGCAGGCATGGAGAGTAGCACGACGAGCGACAGGAGGAGCAAGGGGAGGAGGAGCAGATGGTGTGGCTGATTGCTTTCTGCGGATGGAGCATGTGCAAGGCCCCGCCGCTCAAGACGTCTCGCGAGGTGCTGAGCATTCTGCAGAGCCACTACCCGGGAAAGGTGAGTGTAGCTTCCTGGGAAAGGTGAGGTGGTGTGAGATGGTGGGATGGTGCATGGGGCTCACAATCATGAAACCCATTTTTTGCCTATCCGTTCTGCTTTCTCACCTTAACAGGTGATCCGCCCCTTCATAGACCCGGTGACATTCAACAAGATCCTCTTCGTCAACACCTCACATTCAGTCAGAATAGACATACTACTATTCAAGCGCCTTTCCAACCTCTCACTTGACCCGTTCTGCCACAATAAGTGATTCACCCTTCATAGGACCGGTGACACTCAACATATGGTGAGATGATGGGACGGGATGACGGGGGATTGTTGAGGGGGAGCGGTTGGGGCAGCAGGAGGAGATTGTGGGAGATGAGAGCAGTGACGGTGCTGACAGCAATCAGGGCAGTGAGGAAAGTTCTCTGAGCAGCAGCAGCAGTTCCAGCAGCCTCAGCAGCACCAGAAGCAACGGCGATGGTGACGGCGGTGCTAACCTTTTGTTACCCATCCAAACACACCTCATTCAATCCTGGGACACGTGCAAACCAATGGAGTGCTCAACAAGTTCATGAAGAGGCCAACGTGGCATCAATAACACAAATAATAATTACATTATGATATAAATGATTTGTTGAGAATCCAGCGACAGCGGAGAATGACGGCAAAGGGTGGAACCCAGCCAATAACGACAATAAAACCCAGCCAATAAATGGTGACAATAACGATGCTGATAATGACGGTGAAGACATCTGGGGCATGTCAACATTGACCATCAGACACCAAGACAGGAATCACTACGCACTTACAATAAGAACGCCCTGCCACAATCCAGCAATAAGCACTGCATCTACTATCCCCTTCCACTCACGCCCCCCTTCCCAAACTACGGTATCCATTTTCCAGTACCCTACCATCAACACATCCACTCTCCAGATTTGGAATCTTGGAGATTGTCTCATGCTCAGCATGTGCAAGTTTCGGGCATGCAGTGATCAAAAGAGTCCTGAGGCTGGTGAGACTGCTCAAGGACTCAGGCACACTCATCAGTTTAGGCCACGAACTGATAGTCAGCCGCTGCAGCTGTGAAAGTTTTCCCATCTCATCTGGAAGCCCGTACAGGTCCGGAAGGCCAAACAGGAGCAGCGTTTTCAGATTCGAGAGCTGGCAAATAGACTTCGTGAAGGCACGTTGATCCTCCTGGCACGTCACGCAGTTGGCTGGCCACCCAAACTCAAGAGTCGTAAGGCTGCTCCAATGCCGAAGGAGGGATGGAGACACTGTCTCAACTTTGTCGCATTAGTTGAAGGAAAAAGTGCGAAGATTGGAGAGCTTGGAGAGGGTATCAGGAAGGCGGGTAAGGCTTTCAAGTTGGGCCAGCTCGAGATGCTCAAGCGAGGATAGGCGATCCACGTTCTGTGGTAACTCCGTGAGCCCTGAGCAAGCTTTGAGGACCAACATGCGGAGGTTAGAAAGGTCGCAGAGAGAATAAGGGAGCGAAACCAAGGCTGTATTATCTCTGATAGTTAGCGTCTTTAGAGAACTTAAGCCCGAAACTGCGTTTGGAAGAGATTCAAAACCTGGACATTCCACGAGGTCAAGAACTTGAAGAGAACCAAGCTCGAAAAAAGAACTCGGGAATTCGGATAGGACATTAAACTCTAGGTAAACCTCTCGAAGGTTCCGAAGCTGGCCGATGGTGTCAGGAGGAGCTGTGATGCCCACAAAGCGAATGCTAAGTTTGACCAGTGACTTCAGTCTACCAAACGAGTCAGGTAAAAGATCGAACGCACTCGAACTTTTTAGTAACTGCAGCTCGGTCAATCTGGTGAGCTGGACGATTGATTCGGGAAGGTGGTCATTGTACAGAATGGTGAGTGTCAGCTTAGTCAGGGACCTTAGCTTGTCGAATTCATCAGGCAAAAAGGCGAAATCAACATGAAGGTTGGCCTCCGTCAATGATGAAAGGTCGAAGAAGGATGGTGGCAAATCACAGCTGTCTTCGTAGACTGTCATCATGGTAAGCGAGAGGTACTGCAACGCAGAGCAACCTGTGAAGAGGGCATCTAAGCCTTCATACGTCAACCCTGGTTCGTCTCCGTTGTTCAGGTCAAGATAAGTCAACCTTGGACAGGCGGATCCTAGGCCATGGAGGAAATCGTCATTGTCTGGGTCGAGAACGCACTTGTTAATCGTGAGAGAAGTCAGATGCTTGAACCGGGAAAGGGATTCCAAAAGAGCAGCACCTGCTGTAAGGCTGGGAGAACTATTGGCGATGGACGTCTGTGCAAGGTAAGCGAGGCGATTCCAACGTTTACATACAAGAGCATGATTGAAGCAGCTGGGTGACTGCTTGTTTAGGCAACGGAAGATCAGGCAGATGGGGTCGTCCGGTAATTGATTCAACGACACACGTCTACGGCGATGCGGGACTGGGGCTAGGGACAGTAAATCTCCTTCAGCATCAGACATTGTTAGCACGTTGCTGCGAACTAAGGCCAACTAAGTGAAGGAAAATATAGGTCCTCGGTCAACTGGAGCGAACTGGAATCTGGAATTGACTAGGGTAATAGAGCGGTGATGCAACGCCCATGAAATCTGACACTGGATCTGGGGGAAGCTTTGTTTTCTGTTGAAGTTGCTCAGCTTCACAAAACCCGTATAGTGAGCTCCGAGCATGCACGCCAGTTGCGCCAGATCTGTCTGCCCTAGTTTCGCTGCTATCGACTTGTGTTACCGTTTCGTCCTGAGCGTTGCGACTGAAATGTCCCGACAACGAATTCCCAATCCTATCGCAAACCTCTGCCGACCAATCGCAATCCAGAACTAGAAAACGGTAACCCAGTGGAACAAATCTGAGGGCGTGGACCACGCCCTAACCTTTACTTCGAGTTTCCATCACCTTCGGCTGCGGCTGTCAAGCTCACATTCCGGGTACCTCATGGCGCGAAAAACGGTTTCTTCGACAGACGTTACTCTAAACGCGTCTCCAGGCATAGGTGGCTCAGACCAAGTGTCGTGAATCGTGATCACCCGCAGTTGTGATTTCCACCAATGATGTGTACAGCACGCCTCTTTCGCTTCCACTTCATCTCGTTGCAACCATAGAGTACACTCGTAATTGAGAATGGTAGACGCCACGGTCTTCTTCGTGAACTGGAGCGGTGGATTTTGAGTCAGCTCAACTCATGGCGGCGAAGGATTTTTAGTCACCTCAAAGGTCGCGATCTCGACTACTTGCCTTATCTTGAGGGCCAAATCTGCGACCGCAGAAGGTTGGTCTCAGCAAGCCTTCTCTTTCCGCCTTCCCGTCTCCGTCGAGGGATTCACTCTCTCTGTTTGTTTCTCCGCTCTCACTCTCCCTTTCGCCCTGCACATTTTCGCGTGCAAGTGAAGGAGCTGCGCGCATCACTCGGTTCCCTTTTTGAGAAATTTCAACTAGTGAATCACTCTCACTTTCACGCTCAAAGCCTTTCGCGCCTTCACTCTCGCTTTTTCTCTCCCTGTGCTCGTTCCCGTGCAGGTGAAAGAGCTACGAGCATCTCTCGGTAACTTCTTTTAGCATTCGCGCAAGTGTCTGTCAAAGCATTCGCGCTCACTCCCCCTCTCTCTCTGCACTTGCGCGTGCAGGTGAAGGAGCTGCGCGCATGGCTTGGTCCCCTCCCCAAGCGCGCGCGGATATTCTGCTCCAACGCGTGCCTGCGCCGATACCTGCGCGCGCGCAACTGGCACGAGCAGCGCGCCGAGCGCATGCTGCAAGACACGCTCAAGTGGCGCGACCAGTGCCGCCCGGAAGAGATCCGATGGGTACGTACACTCGTACGTGCGTATGTACATCACAAGCAAATGAGCACGTACGCAGAATCGGGCAACAGAGGCAGGTGGATGGAAATGCATACATCAGTACGAGTGCAGTGGAAATGTCTGACAGAAAGTATGCATACCTCATTGCTGAAGATTATTCCTTCCTGCCGTCCGCTTTGTTCCCGCCGTCCGCTTTGTTCCCGCCATCAGTTCTTCTCTCTTCCCCTTTCCTTTCACATCATCGCCACCTGGTACACAGTATGTCGTTTTGTGGAACGTGTGCGGAAGGCGATTGCAGGCAGACGGGGCGGAGGAGGGCGCGACGGGCAAGGTGTACCGAACGGCATTCCAGGACAAACACGGCCGCCCAGTCGTGGTGCTCTCTGCCGGCCAGCAGGTGAGGTGCTTGCGAGGTGAGGCCAGCAGGTGAGGAGCATGGGTAGAGAAGTGACTGCCACCTGAGAGATGGCCAGGCCTTTCCGGTCAGATGATGCGTCAAACAGCCCTCATCCGTGCATTCCCCTTGCTTACAGAGCACCATCTATTATGCAGGGCAGGTGCAGCACCTGGTGCACTGCCTAGTCAATGCTGTCATGAACCTGCCGGGCTGCTCACGAACAGCACAAAGAGTAGAACAATCGCCTGGAAGAGAAGGGGGAGCAGGAGCAGATGGTGTGGCTGATTGATTTCCGCGGGTGGAGCATGTGCAAGGCCCCGCCGCTCAAGACGTCTCGCGAGGTGCTGAACATTCTGCAGAGCCACTACCCGGAGAGGCTCGGCCCTGCTGTCATCTACAACCCACCCGCCGTCTTTGAGGCCTTCTGGAAGGTGAGTGCAGCTTCCTGGGGAAGGTGAGGTGGTGTGTATGGATGGCTCCCTGGGAATGACTTCAGAGTCGAATCCATGGCTGGCTCGGTGCTGCTGTCATCTACAACCCGCCCGCCGTCTTCGAGGCCTTCTGGATGGAAGGTGCGTGCAGCTCGCTAGGAAAGGTAAGGGGGGGAAGAGGGAATGGGGCTCTATGGGACGGCTCGGCGCTGCTGTCATCTACAACCCGCCTGCCGTCTTTAAAGCCTTCTGGAAGGTGAGGTGCATGGGGCTGCGTAGGACTGACGTGTGAGTGGACTTCAGGTCTGCTTAACGCCTATCATCTACAACCTGCCTGCCGTCTTTGTGGCCTTCCGGAAGGTAAGGTGGTGTGTGGGGCCCTTCGAGGAGAGTAAAGTGGAAATACCACGCTTATGCGTGGTTTATTACTAAGGCTGAACACCAAGGTAACACACCAGTACTTCCCCTTCTTTTTGATGCACTTTCTGCCAGTGTGGATGGTCATGTTCACCATGAATGGATTGATTTCTCGCCTAACCGTTCTGTAACCATTGAATCCAGCCGTTCATAGATCTGGCGATGTTGATCAAGATCCTCTTTGACCAGACCGCCCTGAGGAGGCGTTTGGGGGGCGATCCAAGTGGACCTATAACCATGCGACGTATGGCGAGATGATGGGACGGGATAATAAGAAGACGGCAGATTACTGGGGGGTAGTTGAGGGGGAGTATTTGCGCCCTAGCAGCAGGAGATTGTGGGGGATGAGAGTGGGGACGATGCTGAGAGCACCCAGGGGAGCGAGGAAAGTTCCCTCAGCAGCAGCAGCAGTTCCAGCAGCCTCAGCAGCACCAGCAGCAACGGGGACGGTGACGGCGGTGCTAACCTCAGGTGCTTGCTCCCACTGATCCGAACACACCGCATCCAATCCAAGCACATGCGCAAACGAACAGAGTGCTCACAAATCTCCATAAGATGAGCATCAACTGGTTCATCAAGCGACCAACGTGGCGTCAATAACACATAGAGTTATTAGTAGGGTGTGAGTATCTACATTTTACTCTGCAAACGGTTGGATATGTAGAAGTTTAAAGCATCATTTCGTAACATGTTAGAAGTATGTCTGGTAGAAAAACGTATCAGTCATCATTTAGATGACATCCTTGCCGTGCGGCATGGAATGAGATACGGTAGACGGGACGGCGAAGGGTGGAAACTACCTGCGGTACGCATGCAATATAAATAGTGACTACAATGATGTCGATCACGACAGCAACAGTGAAGACATATACGGTACAGTAAGACTTGTCAACATTGACCATCCAAAGTACGACGACAGGAATCACTGCAAATGTAAAACACACACACCCCTACCACAATCCAGCGATAAGCACAGCATCTACCGTCCCCTTCCACGGACTCCCCGTTTCTCAAATGACCCATTTCCCAGTATTCTACCATCAACACATCCACACTCCAGATTTGGGATCTTGAGGATTGTCTCATGCTCCTCATCCCCAAAGTACGGGCATGCAGTGATCACGAGAGTCCTAAGGCTGGTGAGACTGCTCAAGGACTGGGGCAAACACATCAAGTTTGGCCACGAACTGATAGTCAGTTGCTGCAGCTGTGAAAGATTTTGCATCTCCTGTGGAAGGTAGTCCAGGTCAACGCCAAACAAGAGGAGCGTTTTCAGATTTGAGAGCTGGCAAATAGACGCCATGAAGGAACTTTGATCCTCGCAGAGTGTCCAGAAATTGCCTGGCCATCCAAACTCAAGTGTAGTAAGGCGGCTCCAATGCTGAAGAAGGGATGGAGACACTGTCCGAACGTTTTCACAGTAGTTGAAGGAAAAGCTGCGGAGACTGGAGAGCTTGGGAAGGTTTTCAGGAAGGTGACTGAGGTTTCTGAGTTGGCACAGCTCAAGATGCTCCAGCGAAGACAGGCGATCCATGCTGTCTGGAAGGTCCCAAAGCCCTGGGCAATCCTTGACGACCAACGTGCGGAGGTTAGAAAGATCGCAGAGAGAGTCAGAGAGCGAATTGAAGTCTCGACAATCTCTGATAGTTAGCGCCTTGAGAGAACCTAAGCTCGACACTGCGTTTAGAAGGGGATCAAAACCTTCACAATTCACGAGCTCAAGGACTTGCAGAGATGAAAGCTCGAAAAAAGAACTCGGGAGTTCGGAGAGGGGATAGCCATTTAGGTAAACCTCTCGAAGGTTCCGAAGCTGGCCGATGGTGTCAGGTAAAAGTATTCCGCTGCCCAAATCACGAATGCTAAGTTTGACCAGTGACTTGAGCCCACCAAGAGAGTCAGGTAGATGGTCAAACGTATCAGAACTGACTGTCATCATGGTAAGCGAGAGGTACTGCAGCGCAGTGCAGCCTGTGAAGAGGGCATCTAAGCCTTCATACGTCACCCCTGGATAATCTCCGTTGTTCAGGTCAAGATAGATCAACCTTGGACAGACAGATCCCAGGCCACGAAGGAACTCCTCATTGTCCTTGTCAATAACGCACTTGTTAATCGTGAGAGAAGTCAGGTGTCTGAACCGGGAAAGGGAGTCCAGAAGAGCAGAATCTGCTTTAAGGGAAGGCTGGCTGATGGCGATGGACGTCTGTGCAAGGTAAGCGAGGCAATTCCATCGTTTACAGACCAACGCATGATTGAAGTAGCTGGGTGACTGCTTGTTCAGACAATGGAAGATGAAGGAGATGAGATCGTGAGGTAACCAATCTCCTTCGTTGCCGGACATTGTCAACACGTTGCTGCGAAGCGTAGAAAGCCAAAGCGAATATGGAACTAGAGAGCTGGCGGACTGAGAGTTGTACAACATACCTCCGCTGAAGGCAGGATATGTATGAGTACTGTAGGAGCGAGCTTGTCATGTCATTTGAACACAACATTGCCTCATGTGTGTCAGGTTGGTAACATCCGTGCTGAGGACGTGTCTCATGTGACCTGGTCCGCGACCTCAGTTTATATGCTTTGGTCCGGCATGCTGGTCCGTCGGACCCACGAGGCGGTCCACTGGAGCTGACGTCGCCAGTGTCTTTAGGTGAGCTGTAGGTAACACAGGGGGAGCTTGTGGGTCACCCCGTGAGGGTGACCCCGGGGTCTCCCGCGTTTTCAAAGTGATTGCGTGTGGAATTTTGGGCTGGCAGCCGTGGCGTGGACCGGACACGAGCTGGTCTGCAAGATTTTGTCGCGTCTTGGACTGTACAACCTCTGAGATTTACACAGTATCGACGAACCCTCTTTCTATTGCCTGGTGTTCACTCACCATTCCGTGACGTGTGAAACACGCGAATAAAAATCAGAGTCGTTCGGACCACCCGCGGCCCCGTTTCAACGCTATAACGAGGTTATTCCCCGCATACTGGTTCTGTCCACCACTGGATCACCCTGCGGTTCGCGAGCTGGTCTAGTGGGTCCGTATCGGACCCACGTGGACAAGCGCCTTTGAGACGCCATGGAATGGATTATGGAGCACGCACTGGGGTGCGGGGATCGTGATTTGGTTTTTGCGCTTTTGTTTTCACGCGTTGGTTCCCAGTGGGGCGGGTTTCTGGGCCCTCGGTTTCGCGGCCTTCGATTCGCAGTCGTGCTTTCGTGGCGTTTCTTGTAGAGCATTCGACTCGTGTAACCGTTTCTTTCAGCGCGTTACGAGTACTTTTCGCGGAAACATGATTTGTCCATCTACAGCTTCAGATCACCACGCGTCAACTTGACCTAGGTAAACCTAACGGATTAAATTATTATTTCAAGTCAATTCTGGTTTCTTGCCATGATTTATGGTACATCATTAGTAAATCAAGATTAGTTGTATTAGTACTGTTTATGGTACCTAATCCCTTGTGTTAATTGTCCCATCCTAGCGGCTAATATACTCCTCTACTCGAAGCGTCTCATCAGCTACAAAATACAGAGTGATCTGCAGAAAATTATGTGATCTCAGCAAACATTCTCCTTCTATCTGCTTCTCTTCATCGCAGGGCCATCCAATAGGCCTTTTCTCAACATGTACTGAATTCCAAATAGGCTCTGGAATTATTTTTTGTAAACCTCGCTCCTCAGTCTCCAATTTCCCTCAATTCTCTGTTTCCCCTCCCTCCCTCCTCTCCTCTTCCTCCAGACGACACTCTGGCTATCATCGCAGCTTTGAAACGCTCGCTTATTCGTGCGCATAAACAGCAGTCATGCCCACTTGCTTCATCCGACAGACAAAAGCAGTCGGGTGATAGTGGCTGCCACCTCAGCAGCATCAACAGCCATGGCCACTTGCACTGGCGGCACCCCCACCCATGGGTTGGGGCCGTTCCAACTGGCGGGGAGGCGGGAGGGAAGGAGGGACGTGCATTGAAGTAGGTGCCTTAAGAATGCACTTGCACTGGCGGCCACCCCCCCCCCCCACCCATGGGTTGGGGCCGTTTCAACTGATGGGAGGCCGGAGAGAGGACGTAGGGGCAGGTGGGATAACAGAAAATGTTGAAAATGAGGGTGCGACGTGCGCGGATGGAAGGGGGAGGCAGAACAACAAAAAACCCACTTCCACACCCCATTCAGACGAGCCCCGAACACTATTCGTCACCGAGAAGAACCGGAAGCGTGCAGTGCGCTCCCGATCGACCTGTCTATTACTGATTCATCAATCCACCCATCCTGCCATAGCTCCCTCATTAGCCCATGATCATGCACTGCAAGCCATCTGTCTTTAACTGCAGCAACAACCCTGTCAAAATTGACGGTAACAGCCACGCTCACTTGCTTCTTGACCTCTGCCAGCGTGGCACCCTCTGTCATATCCCTTGACACTTGAGCAGACCCTAATACCTCTGCTGCTACGCTACATCCCTCCCTGCTTTCTGCTGGAACGACACGTCCACCAGCATGCACTCGTTGAGAGTGAGTGGCCCATCAGCATGCACCCTGTGCTGCATCCCTTGACACTTGAGCAGTGTCTATGACCGCTGCTGCTACATCCCACCAGCATGAGTGTGTCGTTCCAGAAGAACGCATGCAACGCATGCATACGTTGCTGAGCCCAGTGCTCTCTCCACACACACACACATAACTGAACGTACACCTCAATGATCGAACCACTCACTTTCTTGAACGGGTAGTCCATAAGAGTGCACCCCCTGCCTCCAATGCTCTCGGCTCGCACACTGCCGAACGTGCACCTGAAAGATTAAGTCGCTCACTTCTTGAGCGAGTAGTCCATGAGAGTGCATCCCCTGCCTGCTCCAATGCTCTCGACCCACACACTGCCAAACTTGAACCTCAAAGATAGAGCTGCTTACATCTTGAGCAGAACATACACACACTACTGAACATACACCTCAAAGATAAAGTCACTCACTTGTTACAAAGTAGTCCATGAGCGTGCATCCCCAGCTCACACCAGTGCTCTGCTCCCCACTAGCACGCTGCCACGCTTGAAGGAGGAGAGCGGGGGCTATGATTGTGCCGATACCAAGAGCATATTTCACTTACTTTTTCAGCGAGTAGTCCATGAGAGTGCATCCCCGGCCCACCCCGGTGCTCTCCACACGCACGCTGCCTCGCTTGAAGGAGAAAAGTGAGGGCGCTGTGATCGCTGCCACTGCACATGCGTCATGCAGAAAAATTCCTGGAAGGGGGAACACAGGGAGGTGAATGAGGACACAAAAGGCAAAGCAACGGCGAGATGTAAGAACGAGGGGGTGCGGCGAAGTGACGCTAAAGAAGTGTGAAGCGCACTCAATCCACCACAATCCACCACACCCCACGCACCATCCATGTGGTCGGACTGCTGGTGGTGGGCCCTGTATGCCTGCACCAGACGTGCCACCAGGGACGCTGCTGGTGAGGGCGAGGCTGCATGCTGGCTCCCGCTCTTATCTGCCTCCACAGACGCCACTGCTACTGAGGACGCAGTGCCGTGCTCGCTCTCCTCTGCTGCTGGAGGGGCTGCCGTGTCTCGGGTGCACAGGGAGGCAAGGTGTGTGCCTGGCGCGCAGAAGGGGCGAGAGGGGAGGGAGGGGCGGTTCGGATGAAGGAGCAGAAGAAGAGAGCAAAAGGGGCAAGCAGAAGGGGTGAGAAGGAAGGGAGGCGTGTTTCGAATGAAGGAGCAGAAGAGGAGGTCATAAGGGGCAGGCAGAAGGGGTGTGAGGGAGGCATGGAGATAGGGAAGGGGCATTACGAATGCTGATGGTTGCCCGTACGTGAGGCACGTTATTGAGGCGCCTTTCTAGGCAACTTCAAGTGCGGTACGAGTGGAAACGATGAGCCCCAGCTTTGAGGCGCCTCAAACGTAACGATGAGATGAGCCTCAGCCTCAGCCTCAGCCTCAGCCTCAGCCTCAGCCTCAGACTCAGCCTCAGCCTCAGCCTGAGCCTGAGCCTGAGCCTCAGCCTCAGCCTCAGCCTCAGCCTCAGCCTGAGCCTCAGCCTCAGCCTCAGCCTCAGCCTGAGCCTGAGCCTAAGCCTCAGCCTCAGCCTCAGCCTCAGCCTCAGCCTCAGCCTCAGCCTCAGCCTCAGCCTCAGCCTCAGCCTCAGCCTCAGCCTCAGCCTGAGCCTCAGCCTCAGCCTCAGCCTCAGCCTCAGCACGTTGATGTTGGCTTGGCGCCACACGTCAGTCAGCAGGACCCTGATCTGATCTGTTGGCCGTACCACACTGGCCTGGCCTGGTCCCCTACTGGTGTGACTTTTGAGTCAACTCAAAGTCAACACGTCAGCAGCACCTGATGAGCACCACTTTGTGGTGGGAGACATTACGAGGCAGCGGTTTCTTTTAGAGCAAGAATAGGTTCAGAGAGATTTCAGGCGTGAAAGCCTGGTTGTAGAATGGTTTCTTGTGTAAATCAAATGGTGGTAACTAGTTTCGGCGTAGTCGCCTTCGTCAGACCACAAGAAAGAAATGAGCCTCCCGAGGTTTATATACACCCCAGGTTGACTCGGCTACCCAACAGTAACCTGAATCAGGCTCAGAAATGAAATTCTACAGTAAAACTAACTTCAGCACTTACAAGCAGAAACTAAAAAGCTTCCAACTCTCTTAGGCAATTTACATGCCAAGATCGCCCTCCGTCCTGTAAAAATGTCGCGTGACATTATATCCAGGTGACTTTTGAGTCGACTCAAAGTCAACACGTCAGCAGCACCTGATCTGATGGCCGTACCACACTGGCCTGGTCTGTCTGGCACCCTACTGGTGCTATAAAGAGACTCTTCTAGTAGCATGCGTATCAGAAATGACACCAGTGAGTGAGTGCAACGCGCGTGGTAGCATGCACGTTGTTAAGGAAGGAACGACTCGCAACACACCTGTGAGTGATGCTGGCACCACTCGTCAGCACCTGGGATGCTGGCACCACTCGTCAGCACCTGGGATGCTGGCACCACTCGTCAGCACCTGGGATGCTGGCACCACTCGTCAGCACCTGGGATGCTGGCACCACTCGTCAGCACCTGGGATGCTGGCACCACTCGTCAGCACCTGGGATGCTGGCACCACTCGTCAGCACCTGGGATGCTGGCACCACTCGTCAGCACCTGGGATGCTGGCACCACTCGTCAGCACCTGGGATGCTGGCACCACTCGTCAGCACCTGGGATGCTGGCACCACTCGTCAGCACCTGGGATGCTGGCACCACTCGTCAGCACCTGGGATGCTGGCACCACTCGTCAGCACCTGGGATGCTGGCACCACTCGTCAGCACCTGGGATGCTGGCACCACTCGTCAGCACCTGGGATGCTGGCACCACTCGTCAGCACCTGGGATGCTGGCACCACTCGTCAGCACCTGGGATGCTGGCACCACTCGTCAGCACCTGGGATGCTGGCACCACTCGTCAGCACCTGGGATGCTGGCACCACTCGTCAGCACCTGGGATGCTGGCACCACTCGTCAGCACCTGGGATGCTGGCACCACTCGTCAGCACCTGGGATGCTGGCACCACTCGTCAGCACCTGGGATGCTGGCACCACTCGTCAGCACCTGGGATGCTGGCACCACTCGTCAGCACCTGGGATGCTGGCACCACTCGTCAGCACCTGGGATGCTGGCACCACTCGTCAGCACCTGGGATGCTGGCACCACTCGTCAGCACCTGGGATGCTGGCACCACTCGTCAGCACCTGGGATGCTGGCACCACTCGTCAGCACCTGGGATGCTGGCACCACTCGTCAGCACCTGGGATGCTGGCACCACTCGTCAGCACCTGGGATGCTGGCACCACTCGTCAGCACCTGGGATGCTGGCACCACTCGTCAGCACCTGGGATGCTGGCACCACTCGTCAGCACCTGGGATGCTGGCACCACTCGTCAGCACCTGGGATGCTGGCACCACTCGTCAGCACCTGGGATGCTGGCACCACTCGTCAGCACCTGGGATGCTGGCACCACTCGTCAGCACCTGGGATGCTGGCACCACTCGTCAGCACCTGGGATGCTGGCACCACTCGTCAGCACCTGGGATGCTGGCACCACTCGTCAGCACCTGAGATGCTGGCACCACTCGTCAGCACCTGGGATGCTGGCACCACTCGTCAGCACCTGGGATGCTGGCACCACTCGTCAGCACCTGGGATGCTGGCACCACTCGTCAGCACCTGGGATGCTGGCACCACTCGTCAGCACCTGGGATGCTGGCACCACTCGTCAGCACCTGGGATGCTGGCACCACTCGTCAGCACCTGGGATGCTGGCACCACTCGTCAGCACCTGGGATGCTGGCACCACTCGTCAGCACCTGGGATGCTGGCACCACTCGTCAGCACCTGGGATGCTGGCACCACTCGTCAGCACCTGGGATGCTGGCACCACTCGTCAGCACCTGGGATGCTGGCACCACTCGTCAGCACCTGGGATGCTGGCACCACTCGTCAGCACCTGGGATGCTGGCACCACTCGTCAGCACCTGGGATGCTGGCACCACTCGTCAGCACCTGGGATGCTGGCACCACTCGTCAGCACCTGGGATGCTGGCACCACTCGTCAGCACCTGGGATGCTGGCACCACTCGTCAGCACCTGGGATGCTGGCACCACTCGTCAGCACCTGGGATGCTGGCACCACTCGTCAGCACCTGGGATGCTGGCACCACTCGTCAGCACCTGGGATGCTGGCACCACTCGTCAGCACCTGGGATGCTGGCACCACTCGTCAGCACCTGGGATGCTGGCACCACTCGTCAGCACCTGGGATGCTGGCACCACTCGTCAGCACCTGGGATGCTGGCACCACTCGTCAGCACCTGGGATGCTGGCACCACTCGTCAGCACCTGGGATGCTGGCACCACTCGTCAGCACCTGGGATGCTGGCCCTTAACACACCGCCCTCGGCCCTCACTGGTGTGATAAGTAGCTCGTCTAGGAACATGCACAGCTCCAGCACACCAACCAACGCACCTGTGAGTGTGACCTGTGTGGTGACGTTCAGTCCCTCCCAGCACATAGATGCTGGCGCCACTCGTCAGCACCTGGGCTGCTGCCCTTAACACACCGCCCTAGGCCCTCACCGGTCCGATAAGTAACAAGTCTAAGAGCATGCACAGCTGACCTGTGAGTGTGACCTGTGTGGTGACGTTGAGTCCCAGCACGTGGACGTTGGCGCCACTCGTCAGCACCTGATCCGCTGCCTCAGGGTCTGCAAACACCTGCCGTGGAGAGGTGGGGGTAGAGGGGCAGATGGGGGCAGAGGGGAGCAAAGGGGGACAGAGAGGGGCAGAGAGGGGAGGAGGAGAGGAGTGTCAGCACTAGCAGATGTTGGTGCCCCCCTGTCATATCAGCATCTGGTCCCCTGCCTCGAGATCTGCCTTTTGTCTTGACTCAGAAGTCACGCCGTCTCAACACTAGCAGATGTTGGTGGCCCCTCTGTCATGTCAGTATCTGGTCCCCTGCCTCGGGATCTGCAAAGAGGGGAGCGGCAAGGGTAGCAGCGGGGAGAGGCGAGGGGAGAGGCCTAATCCCCAAACACGGCTAGAACAACCTCGGGATATGCACGCACGTGCAATGCTCTGGGGGGAGAAGATATGAGCACTGTTGGAGGCGTAAACTATGCATAGTTGGAGTTTGGAGATAGAGGAAGGGGAAGAGGAAGTGCGAGGGACTTTTGAGACGTCTCAAGAGAAGATATGAAGATACATGCATAGTTGGAGTCTGGAGATAGAGGAAGGGGAAGAGGAAGTGCAAGGGCATGAGCAAGAGCAAAAGCAAGAGCCAGCGTAAGTCAAGATTGTCATCCCCTCACGCTTTTCCTCAATGGTCAACCGGTCCGCTCTTCCTCCCCCAACCTTACACACACTCTCTCTCCCTCCCAACAATATCGAGCTATCCCATCGCCCTTCCCTTTCTTTCCCCCTTCGCTGCACCTCCCTCCTGCCACCCCCCACTCCCCCCAATACCCTTTGCCCCCAGCACTCACGCTTTCTTCCGCAGCCGCGTTGACATCCCCACTGGCAAAGAATGAACCCCCCACCACCCAGATGCCCGCCACCTCAGATGCTAGTGAGGGGCGATGCGAGAGGGCCTGGTGAGGGGAAGGGGGGAGGTGGGGGCCAGCAGTGGGTGGTGCAAGTGGGCGAAGAATGAACCCCCCACCACCCAGATGCCCGCCAGCTCTGATGCTAGTGAGGGGCGATGCGAGAGGGCCTGGTGGGAGCAAGGCGGGAAGAAGCGAGGGAGGAGGAAGGGCGGATGGTGGAGGAAAGCGGGGAGGGGGAGGTGAGGGTGGGCACTGGGTGGAGCAAGTGGGCGAAGAAACACCCACACCAGCTCTGATGCTAGAGCAGACACTCGGATAGGGCCTGCACTGTGTCAGGGACGCGTGGGATTCGGGAAGGGAGACGAGCAGAGTAGCGAGGGGAGGGAGGAGACGGAGGTGAGGGCGGCGATGAGAGAGACGAGGGAGGAAAGGGAGGTGAGGGAGGTGAGGGAGGAAAGGGAGGTGAGGGAGGTGAGGGTGAGGGAGGTGAGGGAGGTGAGGGAGACGTGGGGAGGGAGGATATGGGATGTGTGGGCAGGAGGAGTCACGGACTGCTGCAAGCACCTGCGTGGGCAAGGTTGGTTAGGTGTTCCAGCCGTACCTAAATAATCTGATCTTCCTGGTCTCTTCTCTTCTCTTACCAGCCTCCCTTCAAGTCGACTCGACACAACCGTGACCTCGGTGCAACGGCACGCACGCATGCAAAGCACACTCACCCGGGCGAGGTTGGTCATGGGCCCCAACTGAATGATGCTGATCTGCCCGGGCTTCCTCGCCACCTCCTCACACATCCACTCCCACGCCCTCTGCTCCGCCCCCTGCTCTCCCTCGACCCTCCCCTCTCCATCCGCACCAGTAGCAGCAGTGGAAGCATGAGTGGAAGCTAAGGTATCAGTGATGCCATTCGCGGGGTCATCCCGTTGGAGTGCGGGAGTTGCTGCTGGCAGTTGCACTCCCGCCAAACCGTCAGGGCCCAGAAACGAGGAGCAGGCAGGCAGGGAGGGTGCGCTAGGCCTGCTGCTGCTGCCACTGGTGCTGGTTCCACTAGCCTCGGGGGCGTTTGGCTGTTGATGAGAAAGCGAGAGGAAGAAAAGGGGAGACACGGTGGGCAGCCAGGTGGTGATGGTTGTGGTGGTGGTGGCGGCAGCAGCAGCGGCGGTGCGGTGGTGGGGGTGGTGGTGGTGGCAGCGGCGGTGGCTGATAGTGAAAGCTTGGAATGCAGAACAGGAAATTCAATAGGGCGGGTGGGAGGACACTAGCGAGAAAACACACTAGGAGTGTCTTGGAAGGAAGCAAACGAAAGCATCGGCGACGGGAGGAAAGGCGGGTTTGGTAGATGGAGTGGGGGGGAGGAAAGGAAAGGAACAAGTTTGTGTGCAAGAACAGAGAAATTCGATAGTGGGGGGAGGGGAAAAAGAAGGAGCAAGGATGAAGCGGCAACATACTGGGCATAGTGCTGGAGTTGGTGTGGTTGAGAGTGGTGCTGTGGCGCCCTGAACCACAGGTGTGTCTGGGCGACCTGCTGCTATGCACTGGAGGAGAGTGGGTGAGGGAGATGGGGAGAAGCAGGATGGGGGTTGCGGGAAAAGCGCGGGAAGAGGAGGGGAATGATGGGTGGGAAAAATTGGGAGGGGAGGTGGGGGAGCAGGAAGAGGAGAGGAAGAATAGGAAGGAAAAGAGGGAAGGCAAGAGGGAAATAAGGGGCATCGCTGTAGGAAAATGGGGGAAAGGAATTTGTGTGGAAGAACAAATAACATTGAGAAGCTTTTTTGCCGAACCTAGAGGACATGACATCGGTGGTTAAGGTAAACACAACATGCGTGAAGGAACAGAATTGTAGTATATACATAATACTGACTCAACCACCAATGTTCCAAAAACAATGAGAAGATCTTCGCAAAGGATGAGGGATCCTTATAAAGGATGAGAGATCCTTATAAAGGATGAGGGATCCTTATAAAGGATGAGGGATCCTTATAAAGGATGAGGCACAGTGAACCCACCAGGCCTCGAGCGTTGCGTGTGGCAGCTTCACACGTCACATAGTGGCTGAATGACGTGGCGATACCAAGCACACGAATAGATTGGCACTTCAAAGCGGCGAGAATGGCCAAAGCGTCGTCTGGATGGCAGAGGGGAGCGGTGGAGAAGGAGGAGGGGAAAAAGAGATGTGTGAGGGAAGTGTACGTCGAGCAGATAGCCAAATGTAGGCGCGAGAGACAGCAGAGTGATTGACGGAAAGGAGAAGGCTCGCTGAGACTACGGAAGATCCTGAGGTGGTGAAGTTGGTGCTCCAGATGTGAAGAAAGAATATATTTGCGACTTCATAAGCTAGCCAAGCAGGATAAACTATATTCGGAGAAGGACAAGCGTGGCTTGGATTTTTTTATATTTATATAAAATTTATTTATTTATTCTTGCACGATCATAGCGTCCAGCTGCGCCGAATCGAAACAGCCCTGCTGTGCCTTATCGGTGACCGCATCGGTGTGATAGCGATTCACGACACAGCACTGACCCACCTATGCCCGGAGACGCGTTAATAATAACATCAATCGGAGCAGGCGCGTCTGGCGCCATGAGGTACTCAGAAATTAGGCAGTGGTGATCGTAGGAGGAGCTGCTACTTTGAATGTGACGGGAAGTGTGGCTGTTACATCCATTTCAGTTCATTGGCGAGGAGCGAAATTTAGACATGACGAACAGCTGTTCCACCGACTTTACTTTTGCCACGAGCTTTGGTAACGTCGTCGACTCGCAAAACCCGAGACGAGAAGCTGCTAAATTCGGGTAACAAAAGCTAGCGAAACCACAGCAGCGAATCCCACTGACACGAGCACCGCGAGCACGAACAGTCACAAGAGCACAAACAGTCACGAATAGCTTCTTCCGAGCTACAGTACCAGGGACCAGTGACCATTGAGAGCCAAACGGTCATCCACTCCAACGGTCACAATGAAGCAAGCAAGCTCCCTTCCTCCATATCCTGCCTTCACCAACGTCCCAATCCATAAGTTGATCATGTCTAGGAGCAATGTGCGATCTACTCTAGTTGCTCTATTTCCGTAGTTTTACCGTAGCTCACTGCAGCTTGCGAACAATGTCTCAAGCTGGAACGGATCCATCGTCCCAAACCTTGGTGTCGAGTCCTCGTAGAATTAAGATGCGAGTGTCGTTAAATCAGTTACCGCGCGACCTCATTTGCCTCATCTTCCGTTGTTTGAACAAGCAGTCACCCAGCTACTTCAATCACGCTTTGGTCTGTAAACGTTGGAATCGCCTCACTTACCTTGCCCAAACGTCGATCGCCAACAGTCCGCCTCGCCTTACTGCAGATTCTGGCCTCCTGGACTCTCTTTCCCGCTTCAGACACTTAACATCTCTCACGATCAATAAGTGCGTTCTCGACCCGGACGATGACGACTTTCTCTGGGGCTTAGGTTCGGTCTGTCCCAGGTTAATTCATCTTGACCTGGACAACGGTTGGCGAGAAGGTATGACGTACGAAGGTGCAGGTAGCCTTTTCAGAGGCTGCACTGCTTTGCAGTACCTCTCGCTTACCGTGATGACGGTCTACGAAGGCAGTTGTGATATGCCACCATCCTTCTTCGACCTTTCATCTTTGAAGGAGGTCTATCTGATGGTAAATTTCGTTCAATTTCCCGATAGATTCGACGAGCTGAAGTCCCTGACAAAGCTGACACTCGCCAATCCGTGGAGCGACGAGCTCCCGGAATCACTCGGCCAGCTCACCAAGCTGGCCGAGCTGAAGGTGTTCAGAAATGAAGGATCGATCGACCGTCTACCTGATTCCCTTTGTGGGCTGAAGTCATTGGTCAAGCTCACCGTTCGTGAAATGGAGGGTATGAAGACTCTTCCTGACACCATCGGCCAGCTTCCGAACCTCCGAGAGGTTTACTTACATGAGAATATGGACCTAGAACTCCGGGAATCCTTTTTCCATCTTCCTTCTTTACAAGTTCTTGAGATCGTGTATTGTCGTAGCTTTGCATCCCTTCCAACAACGGTGTCAGGCCTCAATTCTCTCAAGACGCTAACCATCAGAAACTGCGATAGCTTCCACACGATATCTGATTCCCTCTGCAACCTTTCTAACCTCCGCATGTTGGTCCTAAGGAATTGCACACATCTTAGGGCCCTTCCACAGAGGATGGATCGCCTGTCGTCGCTGGAGCATCTTGAACTGAGCCAACTGAAATGTCTCTCTCACCTTCTAGATACCATCTCCAAGCTCTCCAGTCTGCGCACTTCTCCTTCACCTACTGCGATGGTGTTGTCGATGTCCCTTTATCCCTCACCCAGCATTAGAGCAGCCTCACGTCTCTTGCGTTTGGTTGGCCTGCCAGTTGTATGGGCAGCCGCGAGGATCAGGAGGCCCTCACGTCGTCGTTTTGCCATCTCTCAAATCTGACATCGCTCGTCGTGATGGGCTTTCCAGACCTGATTGAGACTCCATACGAGCTTGGGAAACTTGAACAGCTACAGCGGCTGACTTTGAGTAACTACCCTAACCTGATCGGCTTGTTCGAGTCGGTGAGCTGTCTCACCAGCCTCAGGACTCTCGTCATCACTGCATGCCCCTGCTATGAGGATGAAGAAAGGGAGGTAATCAATTATATTCCAAACCTGGAGAGCGGATGTGTTGATGGTCGAGTGCTGGGGAAGGGATCATTTGGGCGGAAGGAATGAGTGGATGGGGTGGGCTGTTGGGCTGAGAAGTTAGCCCTTAGGATCTTCTGCAAGGGTAAACTCTGGGTAGGAACAGTGTAATAGCGGAAGCTTTAATGAAGAGGTTGAACCACCTTGCGTTGGTATGTGAGGGCAAAGTTGATTGATTAAAACAAAGAGATACAGGATTATATAAGAATACAAGGAATACGAAGAGATATAGTTGTAAATACTTTACTGTTGCTTTTGTGGTTCGATACAGTGACGACTCGGGCAACTGCTCTGTAACGAGTTGTCAGAATATTATGCTCTAGCCTGTAGTGGGAAGCTCTATAGCGAGTACAACCCTTCTAGGGTTTGCTATTTGTATCCTCATTCTTGCTAGTGCAACCCTCTTCTTTCTTCTAAATTTACACATGCTATCAGAGCAGGTCGATCCCCTTGGATCGATCCGGTGGGTGGGCTCACCACCTCGCTGCTTCCGCTGCAACTGCTACTGCTACTGTCTGTGCCGCACGCCCCGTGGCGTGCGGCAGTTTTTCTTCCCGCCGTGCGCCCCGAGGCGCGCGGCGGTTTTCTGCCCGCCGTGCGCCCCGAGGCGCGCGGCGGTTTTCTGCCCGCCGTGCGCCCCGAGGCGCGCGACGGGTTTCTGCCCCGTCACTCGGCGCGTCGCCCCCGGGAAGCGCTGCGACGGGCGACGGGTGTCAGAACATATCTATAGCTTATACTGCTGTGTAGGCTGTAGTGGGGTATCCCATAGGGGGTACAACCCAGTTAGGGTTTCATATTTGTACTGCTTTCATTCATAGTCCACCCATTCCTGCTTACTCTTTTCACTTGGTATAGAGCTAGGTCCCTCCAGGACCGAAATTTTTGGGCCCACCGAAGCGCGCCCCCGAGGCGCGAATTTTTTTTTAGCGACCCCTCGAGTCGCTCTCTCCTCTGCGGCCTCGCCGCCCACTCTGTCGCGGCCCCGCCCTGCTCCTTACGCGGCCCCGCCGCCTGCTCCTTACGCGGCCCCGCCCCGGCCCTTACGCGGCCCTTACGCGGCCCCACGCCAGCCCCTTACGCGGCCCTTACGCGGCCCTTACGCGGCCCCGCCCCGGCCCTTACGCGGCCCTTACGCGCCGGCCCCTTACGCGGCCCTTACGCGGCCCTTACGCGGCCACGCCGCCGGCTCCTACGCGGCCCCTCGCCGGCTCCTTACGCGGCCCAGCCCCGGCCCTTTCGTGGCCCCGTCCCCGGCCACTACGCGGCTCCGCGCCGGCTCCTACGCGGCCCTTACGCGGCCCCGCACCGGCCCCTTACGCGGCCCTTACGCGGCCCTTACGCGGCCACACCGCCGGCCTCCTACGCGGCCCTGCCCCGGCTCCTATCACAGCCCCGCCCCGGCTCCTTCGCGGCCCTGCCCCGGCTCCTACGCGGCCCTACCGCCGGCCCTGACGCGGCCCCGCCCCGTCTCACTTCTACGCGACCCGAGCCGCCTGTCACCGAGCCGCCCGGGACCCGAGCCGCCCTGCAGCCGAGCCGCCCGGGAGCCGAGCCGCCCGGGACCCGAGCCGCCCTGCAGCCGAGCCGCCCGGGAGCCGAGCCGCCCTGCAGCCGAGCCGCCCGGGACCCGAGCCGCCCTGCAGCCGAGCCGCCCGGGAGCCGAGCCGCCCTGCACCCGAGCCGCCCTGCAGCCGAGCCGCCCGGGAGCCGAGCCGCCCAGCACCCGAGCCGCCCTGCCGCCGAGCCGCCCGGGAGCTGAGCCGCTGTACACCTGAGCCGCCCGGTCGCCGTTCTGCTTTTCTGTCGAGCTGCGCGACCTGCCCTGCCTGGTGAGCACAGTCCCACTGTCACTGCGTGCTCTCCCCCCTACTGCTTGCACTGCTTCACAGTCGTCGTCATGGCTACCCCTAGTGTCCTAGCTTTTGACGCTGAGGGTCGCGCCATTGATTTTGAGGTCTGGTTAGACGACCTGCAGCTGTTCTTACAGTGCGACAGGGCTGACGACCTTTCTCTCTTTGACCTCACCT